CTTAGTGTGTTGGGAAGTTCAGGTTTTATTATTTATCCATGGAATTCAAAACTTTTATCAAAATACAACTAGGGGTGGGTGTGTTTTCTATTCAGTTCTTCAGGAATCACGTGAGTGTCCCAAGCTACCAAATCAGGCAGAGCTCCATCTGTTCACTGTTTCAGGAATGGCTCCTCACCCCTCGGTTCCCCTTCGCCCTCTGGAACATGCTTGCCTGTCAGGTCATTTGCGTCAATCCTCTGAGCTTTTCTTTCCCTTTAGGATTTCCATCTCATGGTGGTTCCTCTCTTGATTGTGAGACATTGCTTTCATGTTATCTTTTAGGTCACTAATGTGAAGGCCTGTGTTCATAGGCTGAATTTTTTTTAACTCGAGAAATGGGTTTTTTGTTTCAAATTCCACAAAGTCTTTTCCAGTGCTCTACTCGAATAACTGTGAAGCTTTCGTGACTTACGAGTGAGTGAGGGTTCTCACTGGCTGCTTCCAACAGCTCTATTTCAACTCCACCTGCACCATGTCCACCTGGGTCTGTCTTCCTTTTATTCTTCTGCACCAGTTCTTTTTCTCACTGTGTCCTCCTGGTTTTGTTTGTTCAGTAGTCATGCCAAGTTGTCGGGTCTTTGTGGCTGGCACAGCAGTTTCTGCTCTTAGGGAGTGACATCGGGCAAACGAGCTATTTATGTACAAGGAAGATCTTTCTCTGTGCCTCTCAGTTTCCCTAACTGTAAGGAAACCTTCCCTAACCTCAAAAACCAGGACCGGCTCAGCTCCAGACTGCGCCTTCCCATCCTGGTCCTCTACAACTCTCGAATGTGCGCTGGAGCCTTTCTGCAAAGGGACTCACATGCGTCTTGTGGCTGAGCACTCACTGGGAAACGCAGCATTCCGGCCTTTCCAACTAGGCTACTCCAGCCCCTGCATCCTAGCTCCCACCTAGTGCAAAGCTAAACACCATCCACCCAGGAAGCAGTACTCAAAGATGCCAGGGCAGCCAGTTTTCTCAAACACACCCTCCAGCTACTGCCAGCTTGCCCACTGACAATGCTTAGAATGGAATATTCAAGTTTCCATACTTTCTCCCATCCCATTTTTCCGAATCTCCCAAGTTCACATAAGTTGAGTGAAGGCCCTTTTCAATTAATGGCAAGACTGGATATAATACATCAACTTAAAAGAAACTATTTACTTCCAGAGAACAATTCAACATATATCCAAAAATATGTGGCCTTTTTTTCCTCTCTTTGATCTATTATTCCATTACTAAATATCTAGCCTTAGGAAGTAATTTTTAATCAAAAAGTATTATACAAAGACTTTCATTATTTATAAAGCAACAAACTACAAACAACCTAACTGTCCATCAGTGAGAGAACGGCCAAGTGAAGTAACGACCCGCACCTAATGAAACAGGCATTAATGGCTTAGAAAATCATGTAATAACATAGAAAAATGCATCGAGTCATCTGTGAAGTGGTAAAGGGCACACATTCATATGCATTAGATGACTCTAACCATGAAACTATATGCAAAAATTATCAGGCAAAGGAAATATACCAACGTGCTAACAGTGGTTATATACAGGTTGTTTAGGGGAATTTTTTCAAATCCCTCCTTTTCCTGCTTCAAATTAAATATAGTAGGTAATAAAATGGTACTGAAAATACTCTTTGTAAACCATACACACACCTCAGTAAAGGACTGAGAATTGATTAAGTAATTGTGACATGTAAATAAATGGTTTCTTCAGAAGGGGTTTAAAGTGCTTATTGACAGTTTTCTGGGGCTTTAAACTCTATCTCAGCAAATGTTTTATGAGTAAACTCCATCTCAGCCCTCACTGGGATCAATCGGCTGCTCAGACAAATCTCTTGTGAAGCTGTTTACCTGTCTATCCCTGACATCACAAGGATACGGTGATAAAACAAGGTTTGACCTTGGGCACAAGAAAGCCCAGGGCTACAGGGCCACAGCCCGGCTTGGCTTCCCAGAAACAGTGTGGAGCAGAAATACCAATGGCACCTGTGGCCGAGAACCAGGTGACAGATGTGGAATGACATAAAAGCTCAAAAACCAGCAGCCAAAATAGAATTTACACATACTCAGACACCTTCCCTCCCAAATTCCTCTATAGAGAAACAGCAGGCACCTGGAACGCACAGCACACCCCTGCTCCTCTGCCACACTCTTCTGGCACCGCCTGCAGCAGGGGGCTTCCCCCACCCAAGTCTGGGTGAACACATTTTCTTTTAAATATGGTAACTTTCCCTGCTGCCAGCGGTACCTAATTATTTACATTATTTATGCTGTTTCCAAGTTGCTCCCAGCAGCTTTGCATAGCTGTGCCTAGACAAATGGCGTCCGACCGCCACCGGAAACCACTTTTATCGCTCATTTTTTTGGTGAAATGTCTGCTAAAGGGTTTTCTGTACACAGAGAGGCAGTGTTGGTTTCCTTTCCCCAGGCAGCAGAATCCCAGCTCTGTCGGGGGGGCCAGGAAGAGGTAAGCTTGTCTGAGCCAAGGGTCTGCAAACTTACTTTGCTGAAGGCCCAGGTTTTACCCTCTTGAATTCCTGCTCAATGAACTGATCCCACTAACTCCGTATTTGGGAACCGAACCTAAGGAATTCATTCTGAATTATAGGAGGGAAAGAGTAACCACATGAAGATGATCATGAGAGCTTTATTTATAAGTGGATTCCATCTAAATGCCCAACATAGGGGGATGTTTAATCTATGATTAATCAGCTTGATGGAAAAAATCTGTCAGTTATTCAGTGCTAATGAAGATTAGGTAATAGCATGAAAAGTGCTTAAAAACTTGCTTTAAAGCAGTGGTTCTTGACTGGGGACAATTTTTTTTTTTACCACCCAGGGGACATGTGACAATGTTTGGAGATAGTTTTGGCTATTATACAAGGGGCAGGGGGGTGGGGTTGCTACTGGCATTAGTAGGTTGAGGGCAGGGATGCTGCTAAACATTCGACACTGCATTGGGCTGCTCCCACCCCAAGGTATGATCTGACCCCAAATGTCAGTAGTGCAAAAAGAAAAAATTACACATGTATACAGACATTTGAATTATTACCACTATTACATTTCCATAAAAATGCGTTGGCCTGGAAAGGAAGGGAGCAGACGGACCAAACACTAGCTTTATCTACTCATCTCTTCCCCCAAATGATAAGATTATGTTTTCCACACAATTTGTGCTGCGCACAGTTTTAAAAAATGATTTATACAAAATAATATACATTGACATAAGTTCTTTAATGGACTTCTTAAGGACTTCAGATAGTTTTATTAATGATAAATTGGCAAATGCATAATTTAGTTTAAAAGAGTAGAACTAGAAGATGTGCTTATTCTCAGTAAGAACACATTGGCTGACCCAGTTGCATGGTAAAGGGAAAAACTTACATAAACTTTAATGACCAGGTATTTCTATCATTGGAAAAACCACAAAATGTGATTTTTTAATCTGTAATTCAAGGTCCAAGTGAAAACTATAATTTTTACATAAACACTGCATTTATTTTTGACAGTGTCCAAAGCACTACCCCTTAAAAATTATTCCAAAATGGAAAAACCTTCTATCATCTATCTCCTTATCCTTTTGCAACCAAATTTCATCATCATAAGCTTACTTTTTACCAACAAAAACTGATGCCTTGGCTGCCAATGAGGTCTAGGGCCCCCAACTAGTGTGCCTTTTAAGTCTCTACCTGTTTTTACTGCTTTCTGTCTCTCTTTACATGCTCTTTCATTCTGATGCTTCTAAAATGCTTTGGGGTATAAAACTATCGTGGTTGCAAGAACTGAATGTAAAGGAAGCAGCTATACAGAAAGGGCTAACGTTCTCTCTTCTGAATTGAGTTCATGAATTTTTACTGCATGGACTATGGCTGTTAAGAGAAATCCCCACCCTTGCCATCCTCCCTCCACATTTGGCAGTTCTCAGCTAGATTCTGGAAGTTCCCAAATAGGCAACTTCCAAATCACAGTGTAGTTCTTACAGCCAAAAGAACAACAGGACAGGCCGTGACTTCTCTACTCAGAGAACAACCAGACTGAGAAAACGAGATGCATATCCAGGGGCAGTGACCAAGCCCACATCAGCCTGCCGGGGGCCAGAACCATAGTCTTGCTAGGTTATCCCAAGAGAGCTGGACTGACCACAGAAATCCCCCAGGCCATGCTGGGTTTTGTGGCAAGGAAATGGAAAGATCTTGGGAGATTGTACTGGCCACATATAAGGCCTTGCAAAAACACACAGCAAGTGGATTTCATTCTGTGGGCAAGTCCATCAAGAAGATTCTGAACCTCCAGAATCACAGTAAATATCTCATTAAACCCAAGACCTGAGCTATACCTACAGCTTTGTGCTATGTTCTCAGCTACCTATTTCAGTCTCGAAAAGTTCAAGGAGGCCAAGCCCTTTCTTCTACATCTCAATAACTGGTCAATTAAAGCAGGGATTAAATGTCTTCAAGGCGTTGGCAAAATGAAAGGACCAAAAAGGCAGGCTTCTCCAATGACAGATAGAACCACAAGAGTAGTGCCGCTCAGGACGGAAAGCTGTGGTCTATGAACATCCTTCCCCATCGCAAGCCCTTATTGGATACTCTCGAGTTTTTTAAGGGATTACCCAAAACCAACAGGCAGAGAAACATGCAGGAAGGGTGAATGTATCTAGAAGGGCATTGCCTTTGCCTGGCTTTTCTGAAATGAAACTATGGGGAACTTCCAAAGAGCTTCACCTTTCCAACTACATATCCTACTCATAGACTCATATGGCACTCTCCAAAAAAGGATGGACGCTGGGAGAAAAAAAACGTAGGCCCTATGGGGAGATCTGTCACTGAAAGGAATTCTTTTCTAATGATGTGGAATGTTTGGCTAGATAATTCTCAATGGGTTTAAGCCCAGCAGCCAAGCATACACATCAACCACGTCTACCAGCAGATGTAGCTCAGGGAACCCTGAGGGGCTTCTCCACTCACCAGGACTGGCCGCATCTCACAGAAAACCAGGAGGGAAGCCAGCTCAATGTCTTCACTGTACCCATTCTTCAGAGGAACAGATCTAAATCCTGCAGCAGAAGGGAAAAACAATGCAAAGGCAGGTAATTAATGGCCCGTCCCCCTGACCATAGCTTTTTGGGGGATACCCAGGGACCACATGCTTAGTCCAAGGAGCAGAAAGGTCAGTGCCCCATACTGGGGCTGACTTTTGGGAAGCCAGAGGTCCTGTCCTGATGGTTACAGAGAGGTGCTCCAGAATGCAGGCTTGACTGACAGGTCCATACAGAAAAGGGGAGTTAAAAATATCTGCCAGCTAGAAATGAAAATGATTCACTCAGAAGAAATGAAAACCCACAGAACATTACACATCAAATTTAGAGTGACTGCAGCTGTGGTTCAATTCCTTAAATACTCCAGAGGCCAAAGATTCAAAGGAATAATGAATCCTCGCATCCATTTCCTCCACTTAGCCCTTTACAAAGCATAGGACCGGGAAAGTGTCTTTAAAGATTTCCAATGGGAAGAAATCTTTCTGTCCCTTGGCAGTTCAGAGCACTATTGATCATCCCCCTCTGAAAGCCATTCCCTATTTACTTAAATGTTAACTTAGAGGAGCGTTGAAGTAAAGCTGGATTCCCCTGCCACCACCAGCCATTAAGTAATGTTTAAGGCAACACATCTTAAAGGTTGGTTTGTTTCCTTGTTTTAGTTAAGTAGTGTAAAAGGACATACAGTAAAGGTCCTGGCTGGGTAGCTCAGTTGGTTAGTGTTGTCCTGATACACCAATGAATGCATAAATAGATGGAACAACCACTCTCTCTCTCTCTGCCCTCCCTCTCCCCTTTCCTCTCTCTAATTAATATTTTTAAAAATACAGAGTAGAAATGGAAGTCTCACTCCCATCCACTCATAATTCCGTATTCCACAAGGAACCACCGTGAACAGTATTATGTCAAAATAGTCTATGCATATGAGTTTCCTTTAAAATCGCAAAGGAGAGTACTCGGACCTAAGCAATTCTGAACCTTACATTTTTCATTTTAACCCTGTACCTTGGCGATTCACTATATGGCCCTATGTTGATTTGAAAGTTGTTTTTTAATTAAACTTTTAAATTTAAATAAATATAAAGTATTCTACTTAGTTATGTTAGTGTCAGGTATACAACATAGTGACTGGACATTTTTATACCTTATGATGTGATCATCCCACTCATTCTAGTAACTGTCTGGTACTGTGCAAACTTATCACAGTATTGTTGACTATTCCTCTTTACATTTTTCACCCATTCCCCCCATCATGCTCCCCTTCTAGTAACCCCCTTGGTCTCTGTTTCTATGATTCTGGTTTTGTTTATTTTTTTATATTCCACAAATAAGTGAAACCATGTTGTACCTGTCTTTCTCTGACTTGTTTCACTTAAAATCATTCCATGTTGTCTCAAATGGCAAGATTTCTTAAATGCTGCATAATATTCCATTGTGTGTAGGTGCATGTATCATATGTGCTTTATTTGCTGGACACTTAGATTGCTTCCACATCTTGGCTATCATAAATAATGCTGCAATAAATATAGGGGTGCACATATCTTTTCAAATTAGTGTTTTTGTTTTCTTCAGAAAAATACCAAGAAGTGTCATCTTCATACTGTTTTTCCATACTGACTACACCAACTTGCTGTCCCACCCACAGTGCACAAGGGTTCCCTTTTCTCCACATCCTTGCCAACGCGTTATCTGTTCACCTTTTGATAACAGCCATCCTGACTGGTGTGAGGTGATATTTCATTGTGGTTTTGATTTGCATTTCCCTGACTATTAGGGATATGGAGCATCTTTTCATATGTCTGTTAGCCACCTATATGTCTTCTCTGGAGAAATATCTTTTCATGTCGTCTGCCCATCTTTTGATCGGACTGTTTTTTTTTTTAAGTATGACATTTTTAAATTTAAATTATTTTATTGTTTAATTACAGTTCATATATTCTCCCCCCACTCCCTCCAAACCCACCTCCCTCCCTTGCTTCCACCCTCCCCCTTGGTTTTGTCCTTTATAGTAGTTCCTGAAAACCCTTCTTCCCACCGTATCCTCCCCCCTCCCCTCTGGCTATTGTTAAATTGTTCTTAATTTCAATGACTCTGTTTATATTTTGTTTGCTTTTTTCTTTTGTTGATTATGTTCCAGTTAAAGGTGAGATCATATGGTACTTGTTCCTCACCACCTGGCTTATTTCACTCAGCATAATGCTCTCCAGTTCCATCCATGCTGTCACAAAGAGTATAAGCTCCTCCTTTCTCTCTGCTGCATAGAATTCCATTGTGTAAATGTACCATAGTTTTCTGATCCACTCATTTGCTGATGGGCACTTAGGTTGTTTCCAGCACTTGGCTATTGTAAATTGTGCTGCTACAAACATTGGGGTGCATAGGTTCTTTTGGATTGGTGTTTCGGGGCTCTTAAGGTATAACCCCAGCAGTGGAATTGCTGGGTCAAAAGGCAGTTCCATGTTTCATTTTCTGAGAAAATTCCACACTGTTTTCCACAGTGACTGCACCAGTCTGCATTCCCACCAACAGAGCACTAGGGTTCCCTTTTCTCCACATCCTCTCCAACACTTGTTTGTTGAATTGTTTTTTGGTTGTTGTCATTGTTGTTACTGAGTTGTATGAGTTTCTTGTATCTTTTGGATATCAGCCCTTCATCAGATAGACCATTTGAAAATATATTCTCTCATTCAGTACGTCATCTTTTGTTTTGTTGGCTGGTTTCCTTCCCTGTGCAGAAGCTTTTTAGGTTGATGAAACCCTATTTGTTTTTGTTTCCCTTGCATGAGGGGGTATATCCAAATAGATATTATTCAGACTGATGTCAAATAGTTCACTGCCTCTGTTTTCTTGTAGGAGGTTTATGGTTTCAGGTCTTACATTTAAGTCTTTAATCCATTTTGAATTTTTTGTATATGGTGTAAGAGTGGTCCCATTCTATCGTTTGCATGTTTTTGTCCATTTTTACAACACTACTTGTTAAAGAGACTGTCATTACTCCACTGTATATTCTTACTGCCTTTGTCATATATTAGTTAACCATATAAGCAAGTGTTTATTTCTGGGCTATTCTGTTCCATTGATCTATGTGTCTGTTTTTGTGCCAGCACCACACTGTTTTAATTATTGTAGCTTTGTAATATACTTTGAAGTCAGGGAGTATGATATCTCCAACTTTGTTCTTCTTTCTCAAGATTGCTTTGGCTATAAATTTTAGAATTATTCTAGTTCTGAGAAGAATGTCATTCGTATGTTCATAGAAACTGCACTGGATCTGTAGATTGTTTTGGGTAGTGTGGTCCTTATAATGAGCGTGGCATATTCTTCCATTTATTTGGGTCCTTTTCACATTCTTCAGTGTCTTACAGTTTTCACAGTACAAGTCTTTGCTTTCCTTGGTTAAACTGATTCCTAAATATTTCATTCTTTTTGATGCAATTGTAAATGGAATTTTTTAAATCCTCACTCAAGGATACGTTTATTGATTTGAGAGGAAGGGGAAGAGAGAGTAACATGGATGTGAGGAACATCTATCAGTTGCCTCCCATACATGCCCCAATCAGGAATCAAACCCACATCCTCGACCTTGACTGGGAACCAAAACCACAACCTTTTGGTGTATGGAATGGCACTCCAATCAACTGAGCTACTCGGCCAGGATAGGAATTGTTTTCTCTATTTCTCCTTCTGATTATTCATGTACAAAAATGTGACAGATTTCTTGTATCCTGCTACTGTATTGAATTCTTTTACTATTTCTATTAATTCTTGGTGGATTCTGTATGGTTTTCTATATATAATATTGTCTCATCTGCAAATAATGACAGTTTTACTTTTTTTCCCCAATATGGGTGCCTGTATTTCTTTGTCTGACTGCTACATCTGGGACTTCCAATACTGTATTGAATAATAGTGGTGAGAGTGGGCATCCTTTTCTTGCTCCTGCTCTTTGAGGAACAACTTTCATGTTTGCACCATTGAGTATGATGTTAGCTGTGGGCTTGTCATATGTAGCCTTTATCAAGCTGAGGTAAGTTCCATCTAAAACTGCTTTGTTAAAAGAGTTTTTATCATTAATGGATGTTAAATTTTTTCAAATGTTTTTTTCAACATCTACTAAAATCATTATGAATTTTACCCTTGGTTTTGTCGAATGTAATGAACCACAGTACTTGTTTTGGGGATGAAGAACCACCCTTGCATCCCTGGTACAAATCTTATTTGATCATGGTGTATAATCCTTTTAATGTACTATTGAATATGGTTCACTAGTATTTTGTTAAGAATTTTAGCAACTACGGTTATCAGGGATGTTAGCCTGTAATTCTCTTTTTAGGTGGTGTCTCTCTGGTTTTGGTATTAGGATTGTGCTTTCTTTGTAGAATGAATTTGAAGTATTCCTTCCTCCTCTTCTTCTTCTTCTTTTTTTTTTTTTGTTTAACAGTTTGAGAAGGATAGGTACTAATTCTTCTTGAAATGTTTGGTACAATTCACCTGAGAAGCCATCTTATCCTGGGCTTTTTTTTGTTGGAAATTTTTTTATATTCTTTCAATATCATTGCTATTAATTGGTCTGTTCAGATTCTCTGTTTCTTCCTGGTTTAGTCTTGAAAGGTAGTATGTTTCTAGAAAATTTATCCACTACTTCCAGATTGTCCAATTGGTATATAATTGTTCAGAGTATTCTTTAATGATCTTTCAGATTTCCATGGAGTTTATTGTAACCTTTCATTTCTGATTTTATTTGTGTTCTCTTTTTTGCTTGATGAGTATTGCTAGAGGCTTGCCAATTTTATTTATCCTTTCAAAGAACCAGCTTTTAGTGTCATTAATCTTTTCTATTTCATTTATTTCCACTTTGATCTTTATTATTTCCTTCCACTTAGGGTTTTTGTTTGTTCCTCCTTTTCTAGTTTTATTAGGTGCAAATTTAGATTGTTTATTTGGGGTTTCCCCTCCTTGTTGACGTAGACCTTATATACCTATAAACATTCCTCTTATAACTTCTTTTGCTGCATCCCATA